GAGCTACCTTCATGGGGATACAAAGGTTTACGATATCAATCCTAAACCATGATCATCAGATAGGTAAAGAGGAGGAAAGAGGCTTCTTATGTCTTTAGGGGCTAAGTAGTGGCAATCAGTAGATAGGTCAAGTTTTCATCTTTGTGGGAATATATATATCATCCATTGTAATGGAGGAAAGAAAGGGGAACGTAACTGATCATCTATCTCACATCTTGGTTTAGTATTATCAACTGTGTAAGATCTCTAGCATGTGTTTAGTTGTTAAAACTGTTTTGTGTTTGCTACTCTCTTCATAAATTGTAGCTACGTGATCAAGTCGAGCTTTGTCTTTCCTGTCTCCTTTGATATTTACTTGTGCTCTAGGATCAACTAAGACTCAGTTTTTTTTAGTCCATATAGCTATTTGCTGTTGCTCTGACTATGAGACTGCTTCATGCTTTCTTGCATTTGGTCTTGTCTCCGAGTCAACTAACCTTTAACTACATTGCGCCTTCTCCGTGAAAACATTAATGAACATTCTCAGTCTTTGTTAGTTCCTCTGTTTCGGCTCTACTCTCAAGTTATATACTGACACAAAAAAAAAAAAATTAATCTGGTATTTTGCAGGTTGAGTAGAGAGTTGGTGCATTTGGGAATTGCAAGCTCATCAAGTCAAGAAGAAGTTGTTCCTTAGTAATTACATTCTGCTTAACTTGATAGTATATGTTGCAAACTTGTTTACTGTCATTGGAATAAACTTGTGCATCTTTAGTTGTTATTGCAATAAGTCATGTGTATCTCTAACTTTTGATGTGATAATTGCTAAGACTTTTTAGACTTTTGGTGGTTTGTATTAATGTTTTCTTGGTTAGACCAAGATTTTTAATCTTCATAAACTCCATAACCAAATTCACTTATTTTTCATCATACATTGGTGGAGATGTAAAAATAAAAATAAAAAGTTTAATTGGTTTTCTCTGTGCAAAGAAGACTATAGTTACATCAGAGCAGGTCCATTGGTGTGTTGTAAGAGGTGTTCTAAACTTCAACTGGCCCAAAAATAAATCAGAAATGAAATAAAAGCCCAGAACATGTTCTC